GCACTGAGTATTTTCCATATAGTGTTATACCTGATTATTTTTTCCTGTGCATCAGATTCAGTTTATTTAAAACTTCTCATTTTCTGAATACTACTTGGTAAAGTAGAAATGTTCATATGAAGAGATTTTTTTGTCACATACAATTCTTGATGCTGTTTTTATCCACTGTCTTAATCTCCATACAGGAGCAGGCATTATGGGTTGAAGATGTGCAGTGGAAGCATAGCTGCTAATTCATTCGGGCAATTTGGCTGGAAGTTGTCTGATACTGAGCACTCCCAGGTGCTTTAATGGAAAGCTTCAGATGGACTGTCTTAGGAGTGTGCTTATTTTGTTTAAACTAGTCTAGTGTTTTCTCATCAGTTCAGAAACTCTTGGTTTGTTACTTTGTGTGGGTTCGAAAACATGTCTATTGGTATTTTTTATTAATAAATACGTAATCTATCAGATTTTAAAGTACAGTAAGATTATTTGCAGTTCATAGTATCCTTAAAAACCAGGGAAATCAAGTTGAGAATTATTTTGTTACTCTAAACTTCAGTTCGTGGTTTTGTCTCTGAGCTCACTGGATCTTTCTGCTGGTTACTACCAAGCTAATAAATATGTTTTTACTGTGAAGAGCTCTCTCTTCCCCTTGTTATCAATGAATTACCAGTGCTCTCTGGAGGAAAACTCTCTGAATCATCAGATTGTCTCTTCAGAAAACTAACCAGTGGTGTGTGAAACCTTGTCTGATCCTGGTGGCCAGAAGGCAGCCTAAGCTTGAACTGTGTCATCAAAAAACCCCTGTATTTAGTTTCTCTTTTTGTAAAACACCACTTGTACCTACCCTGGCCATCTGAGCCTGAGCAGGTTGTATTGTCATGGAGGCAAGGGATAATAGGGAGTCAGGGTATGGATGGCCATCTCCTCTAACCCAAGGCCTTAAACTAGAACGAATCTGCCAGTTTAGAGATAAAGACCAAATGCATAGGTTGCCTGATGTTCAGTAAGAATATCTCCTGCCAGTGACTGGCTGCCACAATCGCTCCCTCTCATTAAGGGTGCTTATGCAGTGGGGCCAGGGTAGCTGTATCTGTTTGTAGCATAGATGCATGTTCTAAGCGTTTAGCAGCCGAATAGAAATAGTTTTGCTAAAAGTTTTGCAGGTCAGTGTTTGTCACAAGGATAATCTGTATAACTCTAGGACTTTGCAAAGCACACCGATGTATTTGTTGTCTGTATTTCATACCTCATAAATATATGCATCAAGATATAAATGTTGCAACTTTTGTTGCTGTTAGGTGTTTATGGAAAAAGGCACTCAGCTCTGGAGTAGGATCCAGAACACTGTATGTGCCATAGACTGCTGAAGAGAGAGGGAAGCATCAGGAGAGGCTTCAGAACAAGTAAAACTAAAAACAGGATAACCTGGAATTAAGCAACATAAAGCACTGACAGACTGGTGAATGTATTAAATATATTTCCACATATGTGGGAAGTCTTTCTCTCCATGTAAGATGCTCAGTCCATACCCCTGTTCTGGAAAGTAAAACAAGGATAGGCTCAAGTCTAGCACATGCCTTCAGACCACAAAGGCAGTATCTCAGTCAGCAGAGTTCAAAGAACAACCCTCTGGCAGAGGCATACCACTTTGAATGTTTCATATAGCTATAGAAATAGGTGCACCACAGTTAAAAACCGGTGGTCAAAGTCAGCTAGTGTTTCGTTAAACTCATCTGTTGAATTTCTTGAGCAAAATCTCGATGCTGCTGAAATCAATAGCAAAATCTCGATGCTCCTGAAATCAATGGCAAAGTTTCCTCTGACTTTTACTCGGAGCTAGATCTCATCCTTTGTTTTTGGTCAATACAGAGAAGCAGTGACTACAAAGGCCAAGGCTTTCGAAGCTACCAGAAGGGCTTAAGGGTACCAAAAGCATGAAATGCTGTTGTGGGTGTCCATTTCCCTCAGGCAGTTTTTGCAATCTGAATTCTACATTAATGGAAAACCATGATCAAATATTTAAGCCCCTCTGAGTCAGGACGTGTGAAGTGCACAGTATGTGGATTGCTGAACTGGCCCTTAAGCAAGAACCAGACTTCAACTGTCAGTGTGCAAAGATGCAATCCCAGGGAAGGGGATGATTCTGTAACGTGCCCAGAAGTGGCGTTTTCCTTGTAAAGAGAAAAATCAAGTTGCAGAATTGCCACGCACAAAGTAAAAATATTTACAAATAACCTTAGGGCTGATGACGTTGAGTTAAGCAGTCAAAGACCAGATCTGAATAGGAGCATAAATGAACTATGTGGAATAATAAAGAGCTTGCAGATCTGAAGAAAGAACTTTCATCTTTCCAACAGGAAAAACTACTAACCTTCTCAAGCTATCGCGTTAGAACTGTGACACCGTCAGATTAAACACTGCTCAAATGAGCGTGCCAGTAGTAACTGCTGGAAACAGCTTTTACCCCTCTCTCCATTATAACCCATGTACCAGTGTTATAGAATTTGCTTTTGTTTAAGAATTTGGTGAGTATGTAGGATAAAACTAAGTTTACCTGTGGGTTGCAAGAAGTGTATCTGCTTGAGATTATGAAGCACCTTAATAATGCCCGCATTCTTTACGTAGATAGGGCAGGGACTTCATTTCACCAGTTCACAGGAAATTGCTTCTGCAACAGATAAAGCTATGTATATGAAGCTACTTTAGAAATTTGATGTTTTTATTTTTCACAGGTAATTCTGTGAGCTTGTTGGATAGCTAGTTTAATATCAGCTCCCTTGCCCTCGGGCAAATAGTTTGCAGCCAATCTCAGCCCACCTATTTCATACTCAATAAAGGGAATATCTTACAAGAGCCTTTTAACAGATGTAGGCCTTATGTTACTTAATGAGTGCAGAGTTGGAGCTGCCTGCTCCCCTATCTGCTGTAGTTACCTGTTACCTGTTACTTTAGCTGGAGCCTCTGCTTCCCTGATTGTTAGAGGAATGCTCCTTCATTCACTGTCACTGCTGAGCTGAGGCGCCCTGAACCAGGGCGTGGAAAGGATGAAGGGGCAGTGCTGGGGGTGGAGCAATGTGCCCAGGCTCCTCTGCTGCTGTAGTCACCCAGGGAAAAAGAGACTGCCAGTGTCCCACAATGGCTGTAGCAGCTAGCCTTTGGCAGGGGAGGAGAGGGCACCTGGCTCCCTGATGGGGCTGTGGAAGAACAGCATCAGGGCTAGTTGTGTCCCACGGGCCAAAACTGTCCTAGCACAAATTGGCTGAGGAAACACACCAGCTGTGATGCCAAATAGGTAGGGTACAGACACTGTGTCCCTGTTCTTGTCTCTGTCTAAACAAACAGAGAGCAGCAAGGGACCTTGAGAGAGATGGGTGTGATATCTGTGGCTGTTCCAATAAAAGGTATATAGAAGTATTTTCATCTTTTTACAACAGAGAAAAGCTAATGTTTGGATATTCTGTAAATCATCTAAGTCGGTCCATGCTTTGAGCTGCTCTCAGGGATGTAGATGTTTGGTAAATACTTTCCGAACAGTGCTTTTTATTCAGGAGAGAGGAGCGATAGGCTCCCTACAGTCCCTCAGGGAATTAGCCTGTACGCATCTGATATTGGTAAGAGGTGCTATTCAAACCTAAAATAGCTGAAATTTTTTCTTGAACAGTGGTGAACATCAGTGCTGGTCCGCTATCATTATTTGTCTCGCTCTTGAGCGATGTCTTCCGGCTTCAGTTTGACTGAGATCTAATTCGTTTGGCATAATCTGGCTGCCTCATCTTGTGAAAAGTATATGCAGTGTGGGTTTTGTTCTGTCATTCGTTTGCTGGATCACAAACTGACTTTGCCTTTTTTTCTTCTTGCCTCTCCGTTCTCAATTTCAAAACCTAAACAATACTAATCTCTTCGATGCCCACACTTCCAAGAAAATAAAATGCAAAGAGCACCAAAACTGAGAAAACTTACTTAAAAGCCATTTCCATTTGGTTCTCCTTGCATTTTCCCCTTTAATCGAAGTCATTTGTAACAGAGTTCAGTATTTGAATTTCATACCCCAAAGAGTATATTCAGACACACGTTCTCTCCTTTGTACACTGCTCTGCAACACAGAACAGCAGCGTCAAAAGCATACCTTTACTCTCCTGAGCCGGTTCATTGGGATCAACAAGTTAGGCATCAAGTGTTTGTAAATCCTGGGCCTTTGTATAGGGTGGGAGGGATATTAAAACTTTCACTCTTCTTATGCTTTCATATGTTCTTGCTGTATTTTTACTGTTGGTCATGAAAGAAAATTGAGAAATAACTCTATTTGAAGTACTTAAGCAATAGTTGTTTTTTATTTTTTGCATATTTTGTTTTGTACGTTTTAATGTTTATTGTGTTGACAATACAATTCTTTTCATTAAATAATTCTATTATCAGAAATAGAAACTGTCGAAGACTTTACCTTGTTCTCTGACAAATCTGAGTAAAAATTCCCACAGACATCAGTTAAACCTAAATTAAAACATTCTTGTCGAAAGTCCCTACGTACAGCAAATTCAAATATCTGATCCAGGGGAGATAGGTGTGAATTAGACCATTAAATAGTGACGATTCTGTACTTTAAAAAAAAAAAAAGACGATTTGAACAAAAAAATCTGGAATTTTGTTGGAAACTGCATATATGTTAAATGGAACTAGTTAGAATTACAAAAGCTGATAACTGGAGTTTGAAGTCTTTTTACTAAAAGACCTTGTGCTCCCTAACTTTTTTTTACGTCTTAAATGTTACCAGTCTGGGAGCAGCCCACAGCTTGTGTGCTTTGATCTGTAATGTAAAGAGCATAACTGCTTTCTGTGTGTCCTGCAAAATAGGCTTAAATAAGTTAATTAACACGGAGACTAGTTACTAAACAAAGATCTCTTATCCCCTCTCCAAAGGGGGATGGGGAGGGGGAAGAAAAAGGATTGCTGATGCTTCTTGTGGGTGTGTGGGGTTTTTTTTTTTGACTTGTTATTGTTTCCATCATTATTTTCAGGTATCAGTAACTGAAGACCTGCAACTACCAGAGCAGAAGAAAGGAGAGAGTAAGTTAATCTGTGGTGGAGGCTAAATTAGCACAGCTATGTTCACAGAGCCAAGCAGCCTGAAAATTCACAGCTGCCAGAAAACTTCCTGCTGTCAGAGAGAAAGGACAGCCATTTGGACAATCAGTTGCTGCTCTCAGTTTTGGGTAAGTGAAAATTATAAATTATAGTATGAAGCTGACTCATTGAAATTGTTGAAAGCTTGTGCCGCATGCAGGCTACTCTGAGAGAACTGAACAGATTTGGGAAAAGATAAATGTACCTGATGAATTCGAAAGGCATGATGGTATTGAAATACGGAGCTTTATTCTCACTCTGGCAATTCTTAACAGTGGTATTCTTGACAGCCAATTAACTTTTGATAGCAAAATGATTATGTGATTAAGAGAAGAGAGGATGTCTGCCATGCAGGCTGTCCTCACAGTATTCAAAATGAGCAGGGGGGACATCTCAGACTTCTCCTGGAAGGCTGATGCTGCCCAAAAAAAATACCCAGTATGATAGTGATGAGTGATACCAGGTATGTACGCTGTTAGAATGTTACTTATACATGTTATATGTTAACTTGCTTAGCTAGAAAATGTTGTGACGTAGAGAGCTTCACAACGCAGAACAGCATGTTCTCTGAAGATACAGAGCAATTGTACTGTACAAGAGGCTATTTTTTTATAGGCTCTTTATATTGTAGGGAGGAATTTAGATCTCTCTTTTAACTATAACAAACCTCTGTTGAGCGCATGTCCCCATGATTTTCTTCAGCAGTGTTTATTATAGTATGACAGAATGGAAAAGAATTAAAGTTTTAGACCTCAATAGAGCAATATTTTGCAGAGAATTACTCTCACTAATGCCTTTAGCACGTTATTAAGAGTAACCTAAGACATTCTCTTTTTGTTCTGCCTGTTATTTATTTCTTGATGATATTCAGGTTCGCATATTTGATATTTGCTTCTTAATGGAGGTAGATATTCAGGAAAGGTTCAATGATGTTTTTACTGAAACCCTTTTCCTGTGTACTGAATCGTAATAATCTGAACACAAATTAGATTTACAATTTATAATAAAACTTTAATCACAAGTGATTCCTTTTAATCTTTAAAGTTGTGCTCTGAAAGTTACTTCTAACATTTTTGGAACCAGTAGGCAGAAGAGGCTGTGTTTGAACGTCCTGGCATGGCAGAGCAATGCATACGTTATTGCATTACTTAATTATCAGTATTTATTCAGCTGGACTTTTCCTCTGAGACAGACTACCATGGACAGAGGCATTTCTTTGTGGAGCACAGTGGAGAGTGTTTTTTTTTTTTTTCCTCCTATGTGCAAGAGTGTTTTTTACCTACCATGTTACTTCCTGTTGCCAAGACTTAATTGAACAACACACTGCATATTTTCCCCAGTTTTTCTGTGATGCATGATAGTTTTTGGGAGGCCTTATGGAATGATTGGCAAACAACCCTGTTTTTCTGTGACACATGATAATTTTTGGGAGGCCTTGTGGAATGACTGGCAACAGTAGGGCCTTTGAACTGTACTGACTAGGTTCTGTGACCCTAGGTCATGTCTAAAGGTCATCTGTCTCCTGTAAGCCTCGACCAGATGCCTGGAAAAAGCCCATCTGTGTATGGGACTCTTATAAATACGTTATCTCTACCGGGCTTAAAATTTGAAAATATTGTAGTGGTGATACTTTTTTTAACCTAAAAACCAGATTTATACAGATTATATGTTTAATTATTTTCAATTTAAAGTCTCATAGCTTGGAGATTCCTGGAAGTGCGTAGCTTGAGTGGAGGCTTGAAAAAACCCACAAAAATTATACAACTTCCTTCAACATGCATATCTGAAGCACTATTAAGGAATCAAAGCCTAGGTTATCATTTGCTCTTTAGCAATCCCTTCTGATCTTTTAAGATGAAATGTTCTCATATCTCAAATACCTATACTAATAGGATCTCTCCTAGTGAGACTGAAGTTTGTATTAATCGCAGTAGTAAGCGGTATTGAAAAAGAACTGAAATAACTTAAAAACTTGTAAGAGTATTTCAACATTATTTTTAAGTTGACTTTTAAATTATTGTTGTTTCTAGCCATTTATATAGATACATGTAAAAATTACAAAATAGAATATATAAGGTGAATTTCTGTATAGGACAAACATGGATATACAATTAATGGAGAATTAAGTTGCTTTTATCATTCTTATTACAGATGTATCAGAGACTTGAAGCAGATTTGAGAAACATTAGGCTTCCAGTTTATGAAGAAACACATCCTAGGAATGAATAATGTTAGGATTTTAGCCTTTGCTTTTTATCCCTTCCCAAAGTATATTCCTCTTTCTTTCTGCCCCATCAATCAGTGCATGGGAAACTGACAGAATACAGTGCCTTTAAGATTTTTCTGGAAATTTTGAGCTAAAAGGCTCAAAAACCTGAACAAATTAGTGGAAGGAAAAAACGTAAACGTCAAAAGCAGTTGTACCCTCTCTTAGCCAGGAGGGCTGTGGTCTTATAAGACTTTGAAGTCGGGGAGGGGAAAGTATCATTGTAGGGTTGTATCCCTGTTTGTTCCTTTTTCCTAGGTGATTGCTGTGCGCTGTTGCTAGGGTCAAGACGCTGGACTGGAAGGATGGGCTTCAATTTGACTTTGTGTAGCTGGTTCTTATTTCCATCGTAATGTTAATTGGTTTCTAAGATTTTTAGAGAGATCAGTTCTTGAACATCACTATTAATCTAATCAGAATATTAGACATTTTTAAATGGACAGTAGTATGCTGCTCCCACATCTGCTTCTTCCCTTGCCATCTAAGTTACTGGAGTTTTCTGAGTGAAAAAGTGAAGGTCAACTCCATCAATGTTAAAATGACAATCTTTACTTTTCTAGAGCTTGTCAAAATGTGTTTAAAAGGGTATTAGGTTTGCAAAATTTCTACGTAGGCATTGCAAACTAGTATAAAACTGGGGGAAAAAATTGCTTAGCAGGACCTCTGGATGAATTTTAAGTTTTTTTTAAAGCAGAAATGAGTTCTCTAATACACAAACTAGTGAGTTTAGAACAGTAGGGATATGAGCAGGGGCAGTCCACCAGCAGAAACCCTTTTTATTTCCGATGTCTCCATCTTGCTCTGTTTAATGGGATATATCTGAAACGCACAAGGGAAATAGAAAATAAGGGCAATGATAGCAAGAACAGAAAATCCCTTAAAACTGGGCTGAAGATGCAGTGGTGTTTAATTCATTGTGGTGTCTTGTAGTAAAGTCGACGAAAATATTGCTCTTGCTTTTTTTTCCTCTCTGTCTTCATTTAAAACATTTTATTGTTGAATGAAAAATGGGTAGTAAAGCTGCAGATAGCATAATTCTTATTTCCTACATTTTCATTTACTAGGTGTTGTAATCAGTTACCTGATTAATTATTCTTTGCTTGTGCTACTACCTTCATAAACCTTCCTGTACATTTTTTGTTTTTTCAGTGACAAAAGCTTCCCCCGCTTTCAAAAGACTGAAATACTCTTAACTGCTCTCTCCCCAACCCCATCTCTCATTAAGAGCTACTGATGTTGAGTATATGCAAGGAGTTTGGGCTGAAACATAATTTATGTGCCCCCAGCAGGTAAATGAGCATTTACCTGCTCATCAGGTGGTGTAAATTATCACACCTCATTGACTTGCAAGTGGTTCCACTGGCAATGAGTGAAAGTGTTGGTGTCGGCAAGATCCAGGTTAGGGATTATGGTCACTGAGACAGAAGAAGGAAGAAACAGAATGACCTATATGGGAACAGTTAAGAAGTAATTTACTCTCTGTTTTTATTCTTGTATAATCCACTAATGCTGCTATTTAGTATAAAGCATTGATTTATCATGCAAAATTTTCCGTACTTCCAGTTTAACATCTTTTCAGATTTCCTTTTGTCCTCATTTACTGGCGAGTTAAAGAAACAGCTTCTTCTAGCTTGTCAAGTGATTAGCTAATACACCATTGAAGCAGAATTCTGTACACTGGAGCTACTTTATATTTTTTAGATTTCCAGTAAAATGTGATCTGAGAAATGTGGTTCTGCTACCTCTAACCTATTTTCCTCTGTTGCAACTGAAATAAATGTTGACATGCATTGGCTTACTATTCAACCCCTCTACCAGTTTCCTAACTTATTTTGGGTTATGTTGTACTGCTTTCGCCTTCATTTTAACTCTTCTGTAATATGTAAGAGACTCCTTTTATAAGATGCTGGGTGCATGGATGCACCATCTCAAATGTTACTATGGCATAGTGACATGGATTTGGTCAGTAATTAAACCTACAGCTGCTTTTTTCTGGGCCCCTCTCCAAAATGACCTGCTGATGTGAAAGTAATCAAATCGGAACCACTTTGTGCATGCGTGTCTACTCTTTACATTAATATGGAATGGGTATGTTTATAATTCGTGGTTAGAGACGGTACAGGAATGCGTTATCATTATTGCAAAGCCAATGATCTTTTCAATTAGTATTTTCAGAGTTAATTATTATCTGTAAGTATTTTGGAGAAGTTGAAAAACATCTGAGCATGATTTGGGCACTCAAAACTGCATTCACAGCACCCTGTGGTGGCTCTGTATACTGGCCCTATGGCTCTAAGACATTTTAGCGTTTGTATTTGCACACTAGAGGAGAAGAAACTACACATAGGAACACACTAAGGAAGAGGATGGAATTACTGTTCAATATGTGCTGTAGTTAGGGATATCCGCATGTCCTAACTGTGCGTTCCCACTTTTAGTATCAATGCGTTTCTTTTCAATATAAGCTCAAATCCAAGTTTATAATGTTTGAACTGGGGATAACTGCAACGTTGTACAGTGCACTTTAAGGTGCACTAGCAGTGGAATGCTAAAGTAGGCTCTCCACGTTAAGCTAATTTGTCAGAAAACTCCCTTGATTTGGCTTTTATTGAGTATTTTGATGAAAACTTAAGCGAGCGTTAACATACAGTATTATCAAAGAATTGTTTTTACCTTTGACTTTTCTGTTCAGGGTCATCAGCGTATTCTGGCCGCTGTATTTATTTTGGAGAAGTATAAAACCTTTGGGTCATATTTTATTTAAAATGGGTTTATTAGACTTTGAGATGTTCAGAGCAACAAAATGAACCTTGAGACTTTTAT